TGTGTGTGTGTAAAATTGTGATCGGGGTTGATCCCTGAGATGAATAAAATATGGTTTGGTGTGCAAATCTTTATCACACGGATTTGTGAAAAACAGCAATGGTGTGTGGAATTTTTATTTTTATTTTTTGTTTTTTTTTTTTAATGAGAATAATAATAATAATAATAATAATAATAATATATTAAGCAATCGTGTGATAAAGAAAAGAATGGTGGTGGATAGAAATTGATACGGGTAGTGGAGACATAATAATGATGATAAAATATGATGATGGTGGTAAAATAAAATAAAATAAAATGATGATGAGATTTCAGGGAAAAAGAGTGCAGGTTGGGGGTAGTGCCCCTGCAAAAGAAATATTTTTGTAGAATGGGTCATATGGGTGATGGAAAAAGTAAAGTGAGAGAGAGAAAAGCTGTTTCCCCGATTGAGAGAGAGAATAGGTGTTTGGTGGTGTAAAGTGGATGAAAAGAAAAAGGGGAAAATAACTCTGCCAAAGTCATCATCACAGCAAAGACATGCAACAAAACGAAACACAAAGCACGTGGGTGGGTCCCAGATTGATCTTGACCGTTGTCCAGAGGCTGAAGACATACAAGGCCAAGGTGGTCGTCTTCCCAAGACGTGCTCGCAAGTTCAAGGCTGGTGATTCTGCTCCTGAGGAATTGGCAACAGCCACCCAAGTCCAAGGCTCTTACATGCCTATTGTGCGCGAGAAGCCAACCGTGGAGCTTGTCAAGGTCACAGATGAGATGAAATCATTCAAGGCCTATGCCAAGCTACGTGTGGAGCGCACAAATACACGCCATGTTGGTGCCAGGTTGAAGAGAGCTGCTGAGGCTGAGAAGGAAGAAAAGAAATAGTTAGTTTTTGCCCATGCTGATGAGTGGAATTTTTGTTTTAATTTTTGCTTTTTCAGATCGTAAGTTAATTTGCTGGACTTCTTTTGAACCAGTAGTGGTAGTGTTTACAATATCAGTTGAATGTATGGATTTTGATTATTACTCGTTTATACCATTGTCTGGATTTTTTGTGTTCCATCATCCTGGATCCTTGTAAGATTAAGGCACCACCCAACTCTTTTGACTGTGTCGTTATTCAATTATTTTAAACTTGATTACTTTTGAGGTTGGTGTAAGTTTCTTTTGACAATGCCTTGGTGGTGGGTACTGCTTGCTGTTGAGTGAATATAATAATAATACTCCACGCTGAGTGGTGAATGGTGTTATTTGTGTGGAGATGGGTTTTTATGCATGATCTTAATCTAATTAGCAGTCTAGCACCCAACAAACCATTCTGCTTGTATGCTCACTGTCAATCTTTTCTTTTGCTGGTTTGACATGAATTGCCTATATATCTGCTGCTTGGCATGTTTGCTCAATGGTGTTAATTGCTTTAGATTCATGTATTTCTGTTCTAGACCTTTAAGCACTTGAAATGTATATTGGAACAGGGAAGATAATGTTGAAACTTGAATCAGATGCTCTGATTCTGGTCTCTATACTTTTGCATCTGTGTATTTTGTCTTCTTGCAGTTTAGTTTTTGGAGACTTGATATAGATTTTACAGAGAGAAAGCAATTGAGGAAGTCCCCTTTGTATGCTGTGGTGTGGAAGTCCCCTTTGTATCTTGGTGGGTACAACGTGATTCTTTTTACTTTGACGGAAAATATATTTAAAGACGTTTCAATTTTCAAAAAATACTTTTCAAAAAATTTTAATTTTTAATTTTTCGTATTTTTTAATAATTTTTTTAATATTTTAAGTAATTTTTTAAAATTTTTAAACACGCTTAACATAAATACACTTAAAAAGTATAAATATTTGTGATTCTTTTTTTAAAAAAATATACTAAATACTAAAAATAAAAAAAGAAATATAAAAATTTAGTATATTTTTTGTATTTTTGTATTTTTGTATACTTATTAATTTTTAAAAATATTTTCTCACAAATATTTTACTATTTATATACATCTAAGTAAGATGTATTTAAAAAAATAAGAAAATTGTTTAAAATTTTAAAAATATTTACTAAACATAAAAAGGAAAAATTACTCATAAATCCCATTTTAGTAAATGTTACTCTAGTTAATCCTGAGTGTTTTTTTTTAAATCATTTAGTCCTTTTTATTTTTGATATGATGTATATTTTTGATATATTATGTATGAAATTTACATTTTTGCCCATATTTGTAATGGTTGTTTCTTTCTCTATACAAACACCATTTATACAATCTAAGTCCATTTTGGAAATGCCTGAACTCCCAAAGACACTCTGTTCACACCCAACCCCATCAACTCCTTCATTTTCACAACATCAAACGTCCTTGGATCCATTTCCATGGAAATCTCAACATCCAAACACAACCCAAAATGTCTTAAGGACTAACGAAGTGAGCCTATTTTTGCCCATATTTGTTCTGATGATGTTCACAAACATTGTATTAGATCTTGATCGTCGCCACCGATAATGTCGGATCGAACAAACGTTGCAGACGAGCGGTGGCGAAGCGATTGTTTTCACGATCTCACGGCGGTGGTACTGCATCGGTGTGGATCGGCGGAGGATCTAGACAGAGAGAAAGTAGAGAGAGATCGGTAAGCTTGGGATATCCTTGATTTAGATCATCAGAGATGGAGGTTTCGTTTGTTCTAAATGTTTGTTCTGATGATGTTTGATGTTCGGAAAAGGAGATGTTTATTCTTTATTTGATAAATGGAAAAGGAGATGCTCTGAATGTTTCATTTTGATGACTTTTTCAATGTTTGTCCTTGATATATTGTATATGATGTTTGATGTTTCTTGATGATGTTCGGGTTAGAGCTTTGGGAAAAGGAGATGTTTGATGTTTGTTCTAATGATGTTTGTTCGGAATGAACATCAACGTTTGCAATGAACATCAACGTTGCAGTGTATTCGCAATGAACATCAACATGGACAACGACTGGTATTTCCGAATACATACATACATCACAATGTACACGACTGGTATTTCCGGAATGAACATCGCAACGACAACGTTTGGCCTTCATCAGCGACATCAATAACATCATCAACATCAGCAACTTCAGTGACATCATCAACATGATTAATGTTAGCAACATCATCAACATTAGCAACTCCAGGGATGACTGAATCGTTGGCGTAACTTGCAGTGTTTATGTACGACGACGATGTTAATGGGGGTAACGAAGCAGATGTTTGTTCACCGACGTTACTGATGTTTTGTGTTTGTGTTTGTTGAACAACGTTACTGATGTTTGCTACTGATGTTTGCATATATACCCATCTAAACTCACACCGTAATGTTACTGATGGTTGCTACTGATGGAAACACATTAAAAGGGCTATAGTAATTTTTTGGATATTTTGGTCACAACAACATTACTAAAATCTTACATTTATCCTCTACCAACAAAAGGTCATGTGTTAATTAAATGGGTAGATACGTAATTAACGTTCAAACATGACTTATTAGTCTACTAAATAAAAGGTATGACCAAATGGTTCAACACATTAACATTTAGGACTTATTGGTGTTTTACCCAAATAAAAAATTCAATTTTCAAAAAATTAAAACTAAACGCATTTATATTTTATGATGTTTGATATGGCGAAAACAAATTATTTAGGAAATAAAATATATTAAAATATTTTCTATTTTTGTAAAAATGTTTTCTTAATCAAAATTTTACTAATACCAGTCTGTTGGGTTTGATTTTTTTAGATTAAGTTTTTTGAAAACGTTTTTTGGTTTTCGTGTTTTTTTTTTGTTTTTAGTAAATATTTTTAAAATTTTAAATATATTTTTTTTACTTTTTTAGATGCAACTTACTTAAATGAATTTAAAAAGTAAAAAATTTATGAAGAAATATTTTAAAAAATTAATAAATATATAAAAATACAAAAAGATACACTAAATTCTCGTATTTTTTTTTATATTTTTGGTATTTAGTGAATTTTAAATTTTTTTACTTTTTAGGTATATTTATGTTAGGTATGTCTAAAAAGTAAAAAAAAATATTTAAAATATTAAAAAAAATTAGTAAAAATAAAAAACACACAAAAAAATAAAAATTAAAAAATTGAAAATTTTTCTAAAAAAAATGAAACCAAGGAAAGTGGTGGTCATCACTTTCCACCACTATTAGCCTCGTTTGGGAACATACTAATTTAGTAACTTTTTGGCTATTTGACTAAAATATGAGCTAAAAAAAATTAGTATATTTGGAATGACTTTTTGACTTTTTACGAAAATATATGTAAAAAATAGAGAGAAAAGAGAATCTTTGACTTTTTGGTATGAATTATTAATTTTTTGACTAATTTAATAATTTTTTGACTTTTTAACTAAAAAAGAAGTTCCAGACGAGGCCTTAATACAATGCCTAGGGGTGAAACGGAGATTTCATTTAGGTGTCAGAGTTGTGTCCTTTCATCCCTCTCCATAAACAGAAATATGTGTCAAATTTCATTAATCACATTATAACATCAATTATAACTTATTTTCATGCATGTTTTACTAAATAAAAAAGGAACATCAATTATAACTTATTTTCATGCATGTTTTACTAAATAAAAAAGGAATATAATTGAAATATATAGTACATATTTTAAAAATATCATATGGATATTTATATGACTTTTATAATTATAGAGCCAATTTGAACTTATTTATAGATAAAGAAGGATAAATTATAAATACATTTTTTGAGATTTACTTATATTATAAATTGTCTCATGTAGTTTTAGAAATTATATTATGTATCTTAAAATTTATAATTTCATAACAAACAGGTCATTTTATTAATAAATTATCAAGTTAATTAACAGTTTTTAATAATGTTATAATTTTATTTTAATTAATAATTCAAATAATTTTATTATTATATAGATGAACAATTAGAAATTTTATTTTTTTAATTAATTTTGCTAAATAAAAAATTTTAACAAAAAAATATTTATAATTTTTTAAAGTAAATGAGTAATTCGTATTTTAAATAAATGTGATAGATATATTTGTAATTTGGCCGATAAAGAATAAAGTGATACTCAAGTAAAATGCATCATGAAAGAGAACAATTACAAAAAGTGAAAGAAGGAAGGGGCCAAAGTTGAATTTAATCAAAATTTCTGTAAACCCCAAGAAGCTATATAGTATAATTTCTCTCCACCAAACAAAAATCTATGTATTCGATCTGTGTCGTCATGGCGACGAGCCTGCCATGGAATCCTCTACTCCCCTCGAAACCTATACGCCTACGTCACCACCAAGGATCTTTTAGAGTGAAATTTCCTTAAAGTCTCCTACAGTGTTACATTGTGTGGTTGAGATTTACTGGCAAGTCACATCAAGTCACATCAGAAAAATTGATGTAACTTGCCAGTAAATCTCAACCACACAATGGAGTATTCTAGGAAATTTTAGGAAAAAATCACTAGAGGATGCTTGCTCACCACCGCCGCCGCCGCCACCGCTCTCCCTTCGTACAGGCCTTTAGGGGCAGCGACTTCGATGGTTTCGCGAGGCGCATGGCCTCCGGCGAGGTCTGGAGGGACGTGTGGCGGAGCGCCAACGACGGCTTCGAGCAATTTCTTTACGAGACCAAGAAGACGGCGGAGCGCATCGACCGTCGGTACTCCGTCTCGCGGCGGCTCTCGGCGGTCGCCCAATCCGCCTCCTACCGGGCCAGAGAGATCGACCGCGACTTGAGGAGCGCAAGGTCAGTTGTTTCATTTCTATCTGTAGGATGATTAGTTCAACGTGCTTTCCCTGTTATATTTAAGTTTCTTTTAGATCTTGACTAAAAGGAGGCAAGAAAGTTAAAACTTAGAAAATGTTTTAGTATGTGAATGTTCTTCACTTGAATGTTTTGGTAACAACTATGAATGTTTTTTATATTTAAAAGCTATGCCTCTAGAATTGGAGATGAGCTATACATTTGTAGTTAGTTTCGGATAAAATCCTTCAATTTCACTTTTGGATCAACTGGACAATTGTTGTAAAACTGGTAATCCCTTTGAATCTAAAATCTCAGCAAATGATATACTTTTGTAGTTTACCCCTTCTCTTTTCTATACCTATCAGGCAGCAGGTATTCCCAAGAAACTTGCCCCAACCATTGGCATTGCTGTTGATCATCGCCGCAGGAACCGTTCCCTGGAGGGTCTCCAGACTAATGTCCAGAGGCTGAAGACATACAAGGCCAAGGTGGTTGTCTTCCCAAGACGTGCTCGCAAGTTCAAGGTACTGTTAATATGGTTGACTGAACTTTGGTATGTAGGACTTGCTTGCTATTAGTTTATATTTCAACACCTTTTATGTAACTACTTTGACTGCAGGCTGGTGATTCTGCTCCTGAGGAATTGGCAACAGCCACCCAAGTCCAAGGCTCTTCCATGCCTATTGTGCGCGAGAAGCCAACAGTGGAGCTTGTCAAGGTCACAGATGAGATGAAATCATTCAAGGCCTATGCCAAGCTACGTGTGGAGCGCACAAATACACGCCATGTTGGTGCCAGGTTGAAGAGGGCTGCTGAGGCTGAGAAGGAAGAAAAGAAATAGTTAGTTTTTGCCCATGTTGATGAGTGGAATTTTTGTTTTAATTTTTGCTCTTTCAGATCGTAAGTTAATTTGCTGGACTTCTTTTGAACCAGTAGTGGTAGTGTTTACAATATCAGTTGAATGTATGGATTTTGATTATTACTCGTTTATACCATTGTCTGGATTTTTTGTGTTCCATCATCCTGGATCCTTGTAAGATTAAGGCACCACCCAACTCTTTTGACTGTGTCGTTATTCAATTATTTTAAACTTGATTACTTTTGAGGTTGGTGTAAGTTTCTTTTGACAATGCCTTGGTGGTGGGGACTGCTTGCTGTTGAGTGAATATAATAATACTCCACGCTGAGTGGTGAATGGTGTTATTTGTGTGGAGATGGGTTTTTATGCATGATCTTAATCTACTTAGCAGTCTAGCACCAACAAACCATTCTGCTTGTATGCTCACTGTCAATCTTTTCTTTTGCTGGTTTGACATGAATTGCCTATATATCTGCTGCTTGGCATGTTTGCTCAATGGTGTTAATTGCTTTAGATTCATGTATTTCTGTTCTAGACCTGCACTTGAAATGTATATTGGAACAGGGAAGATAATGTTGAAACTTGAATCAGATGCTCTGATTCTGGTCTCTATAATTTTGCATCTGTGTATTTTGTCTTCTTGCAGCTTAGTTTTTTTTTGGAGACTTGATATAGATTTTACAGGGTGAAAGCAATTCCGGAATGTTGCACGACCACATTACCAATGCTTTCCGGTTTTGCTGACTTTAGATGCTGTGGTGTTGAAGTACCCTTTGTATCTTGGTGGGTACAACGTGGTTCTTTTTACTTTGACAGAAAATATATTTAAAAACGTTTTAATTTTCAAAAAATACTTTTTAAAAAATTTTCATTTTTTGTTTTTCCTATTTTTTTATTTTTAATGATTTTTTTTTACTATTTTAAGTAATTTTTTTTAATTTATAGACACGCTTAACATAAATACACTTAAAAAATATAATATTTATGACTTTTTTTTTAAAAAAATTATTAAATACCAAAAATAAAAAAAATACAAAAATTTAGTATATTTTTTATATTTTTGTATATTTATTAATTTTTAATGATATTTTCTCACAAATATTTTACTATTTATATACATCTAAGTAAGATGTATTTAAAAAAGTAAAAAAATTTCTTAAAATTTTAAAAATATTTACTAAAAATAAAAATATTTAAAAAATAAAAAATTCAATTTTTAAAAAATTGAAATTAAACACATTTATATTTTATGTTGTTTGATATGACGAAAACAAATTATTTAGGAAAGAAAATATTTTAAAATATTTTCTATTTTTGTAAAATTGTTTTCTTAATCAAAATTTTACTAATACCAGTGTGTTTGGTTTGACTTTTTTCGATTAAGTTTTTTGAAAATTGAGTTTTTTGCTTTTCGTGTTTTTTTTTAATTTTTAGTAAATATTTTGAAAATTTTAAATATATTTTTTAAATTTTTTAGATGTACCTTACTTAGCCTGTGTTTGGCAAGTGGGTTTGCAGGTTTTTTTTGGCTATTTTAGCCACAAAAAACAAAATAGGCTATTTTAGCCATAACAAACAAAACATCACATCCAACCCATAATCATTACATTCTTCTCTCACAAAAAAACTCAAAAAACTCAAAAAAGCCAAAAAGCCAAAAAGCCCTTCCCAAACCAAGCTTTTAAGCCCAGGCTAAAATAGTCAAAAAAGCCAAAAAGCCAAAAAGCCAACCCACTTCCCAAACGGAGGCTTAGATATATCTAGAAAGTAAAAAAATTGTGAAAATTTTTTTAAAAAATTAAAAATACAGAAAGATATACTAAATTCTCGTTTTTTTTTTTTTTATAAATATTTTTGGTATTCAGGGGTTGTTTGGGGTGTCATAAATAAGTGAATTTTTTGTCTTTTTGAACTAAAAAGTTGAGGAAAAAAATATGGATGTTTGGGTTAACTTTTTAAATTTTTATGAAAAAATGTATATTAAAAAATTATATAAATAAGTGTGTAGGAGAAGATAGGGTAGAAGGTCGTACGGATTGGCAGAGAAGCCGGTTGGGTGAGTAGATGAGGAAATATTGTCTCATTCTCGGGCTTTAATTGGATGGTGTTGTTTGGCCCGTGGGGTCTATCACGGGTCCCGTTTTTCTAATCGGAGCCATTCAATGTGTAGAACTCGTCGAGTATTATACGCTTGTAAAAAATCACGTTGATTAGATATCGATAGCTATCTGATCGTGTTATTTTTTTTTGTTAACTGTTAACTATAACACCATCCATTTTTATACAAAACTGATTTGATCATGTAATTTGTGATATTCGATATTTATAGGCATATAGTACTAGACGAGTTCTACATAGTGAACGGTTCAGATTATCAAAACGGGACCCATGGTAGCCCCCACGGGCCCAACTTTACTATTAAAATGTAGTGAATATTCTACTATAAATTTTTTTTTCTGTCACTAACTGAACTCATCGGGTTAGTACCATTATTTGGGCCAATTTTTTGATTTGTATTAATATTTGTATGTTAATTTTTTAATATTTTTTTGTAAATAGTGATAACTTTTTAATTTTTTGTGTATTTTTTTGACTTTTTAACTTTTTTCTGTAATTTTTTGGCTTTTTAACTTTTTCTAAGGTTGCCAAACCAACCCTTGGTAAATTTTTTAAAAAAAATTTCACAATTTTTTAAAAAAAATTTCACAATTTTTTTTTCTTTTTAAGTATATTTATGTTAGGTATGTCTAAAAAATAAAAAAAATTACTTAAAATATTAAAAAAAACCAATAAAAATAAAAACACATAAAATAAAAAAGTAAAATTTTTTTAAAAATATTTTTTAAAAAAATGAAAGCAAGCAAAGTGGTGGTCATCACTTCCACCACTATTAATACAATGCCTAGGGGTGAAACCGAGATTTCATTTAGGTGTCAGAGTTGTGTCCTTTCATATCTCTCCATAAACAGATATATGTGTCAAATTTCATTAATCATATTATAACATCAAGTATAACTTATTTTCATGCATATTTTATTAAATAAAAAAGGAGCACAATTGGAATATATAGTACATATTTTAAAAATATCATATGGTATCATATGTATTATTATTGCAAATGAAAATATTAACTACTTCCGACACTCTTATAAATAATAAATGATTAGTTACATTATGATCGTTTATCTATTTGTAAATATTAACTCATATTTATATGACTTTTATAATTATAGAGTCTATTTGAACTTATTTATAGATAAAGAATGATAAATTATATATACACTTTTTGAGATTTATTTATATTATAAATTGTCTCCTATAGTTTTAGAAATTACATTATGCATATTAAAATTTTTAATTTTATAACAAATGCGTCGTTTTATTAATAAATCATTAAATTAATTAACAGTTTTTAATAATGTTATAATTTCATTTTAATTAATAATTCATATAATTTTATTATTGTATAAGTGAATAGTTAGAAATTTTATTTTTTTAATTAATTATGTTAAATAAAAAATTTTGACAAAAGTATATTTATAATTTTTTAAACTAATTGAGTAATTCGTATTTTAAATAAATGCGATAGATGTATTTGTAATTTTGAATTTAATCAAAATTTCTGTAAACCCCAAGAAGCTATATAATATAATTTCTCTCCACCAAACAAAAATCTATGTATTCGATCTGTGTCGTCATGGCGACGAGCCTGCCATGGAATCCTCTACTCCCCTCGAAACCTATACGCCTACACCACCACCACCACCGCCGCCGCCACCGCTCTCCCTTCGTACAGGCCTTTAGGCGCAGCGACTTCGATGGTTTCGCGAGGCGCATGGCCACCGGCGAGGTCTGGAGGGACGTGTGGCGGAGCGCCAACGACGGCTTCGAGCAACTCCTTTATGAGACCAAGAAGACGGCGGAGCGCATCGACCGTCGGTACTCCGTCTCGCGGCGGCTTTCGGCGGTCGCCCAATCCGCCTCCTACCGGGCCAGAGAGATCGACCGCGACTTGGAGATCACGCAGCGTTGGCGGACTTTTACCCTCGATTTCAGTCGGAATTGGCCGAGGGTTTGTTTTACTCTCTCTCTCTCTCTACCTATGTTTTGATGCTTTTATTTTATCTATTTGATTGTGTATTGAGTTCAGTATGAATTTTGACATTCTATGTATAGAACTGTGAACCAAGGACTTGTGAGAGCCTCCTGGTGAGTAGGAGGAAAAGCTAGTATCTGCAAGTTAGGGCATGGTTTTCAATTAAATTAGCTAATTAGATTTTATGAAATGTTGAGTGTTCTGAATCCAGCTGTATCTCATTAACCAAACTGAGCCAAGCCAAGTCAAGTCTTAAGTCTCATCAAATAGGGTCGGCTACACGAATACTTCTTCTCCACATGGTAGTTAGTCCAATTAAGTAGATCCATATCTCTATTAACTACATTAGCCAATGTTAATCTAGGCCTATCCCGTCCCCTCTACTGTTACAGTATCGCATCTTTTTACTACTGTCTCTGTTGGTCTCCGTTGAATGTGACCAAACCATCACAATCGATTTTCTCTCAACTTATCTTCTATTGGTGCTACTCCTACCCATTTCCGAATACATTCATTCCTAATTTTGTCTTGTCTTGTCTAATCTTGCCATACATTCACCTTAGCATCCTTATCTCAGTCACACTCATCTTACATGTTGTTTCTTGGTTGCCCAATACTCCATCCCATACAACATCGCTGGTTTAATAGCCATTCTATAGAACTTATTTTTGAGTCTAGTGGGTATTCGTTTATCGCATAGTACCCCAGATGTATTTCTCCATTTACACCATCCCGCCTTAATTCTATGGGTCACATCCGTATCAATCTCCCCCCCGCTGTTGTAATAATCGACCTTAAATAACGAACATGTTCACTCTTAGGCAGTTCTTGGTTCTCAATTTTCACTTCTCCTCTACTGTTACTAAATTTACAGTCCATGTACTCTGTCTTAGTTCTGCTTATCCAAAAATTTTTAGATTCAAGAGCTTTTCTCCAAATATCCAACTTTGTGTTAACTTCTTCTCTAGTCTCATCCACTAGCACAATATGGTCTGCGAAAAGTATACACCATGGCACGTCATTCTAAATATTTTTCGTCAACTCATCCATAACTAAAACAAAAAGATAAGGGCTTAAGATAGATCCTTGGTGTAACCCAACAGTGATAGGAAATTCATTTGTTTCTCCAGCAGTCGATCTAATAGTGGTCACCACCCCTTCATATATGTCCCTAATCACATCAATGTAACTTTTTGTCATCTCTTTCTTCTCTAACACCCACCATATTCTATCTCGGAGCACTCTATCATATGCTTTCTCAAGGTCGATAAATACCATATGAATGTTTCTTTTATTTTTTCTATACTTTTTTATTACTTTCCTTAAAAGATAAATCACTTCCATTATTGACCTGCCGGGCATAAACCCAAATTGATTTTCTGACACCTTTGTTATATCTCGCAATCGGCGTTCCATCACCCTCTCCCACACTTTCATTATATGACACATTAGCTTGATTCCTCTATAGTTGCTGCAATTCTGGACATATCTTTTATTCTTATATATTGGCACTAAAATACTCTTCCTCCACTCGTCTTGCATGAATGTCTCTACACCTAAGCATGTTCTTCTTACGTCTTGTGATTCCTTCTCTAGAATGGCACCACATTATCTCACACCATGCCGGGATGGGAACAAGGCGGTAAGGACCCTCTCAGGGTTGGTTCATTGATCATTGCATCTAGTGTTACCTATGTTGGTTGTTAGAATTGAAGGTTCACCAAGTTGCTCGTCTTACTCTCCCTTAAGGGATTTGTACTTGACCAATCTTAGAGAAAGAACACCAAGATCATGTATTATACTGTGTTCATTTTCCTACATATTTTGTGACATTTGGCTCCATTATTAGTTGAATTGAGATCGCTCCACTAGTAGGATGCTAAACTTAGTAGAGGCCACTTGTCTCTTGCACTTGGTTGATCACAATCTCCACTAGTAGGATGTTAAACTATCATGTGCTCTATACTCTTCTGAATCTGAGTATGTTCCATATTCTTTATGACCTTTGGCTCCACTGGCAAAGGATCACCTATTTCTTGTACTTGCTTGGCTTTGTGCCCTTGACTTGTGTGGTGAGTTGGTCTCCATGGCCTAACCACCCGTATATATAGTAAGCTTTCTCCGTCTCTAGGCAAGCAATCACCTTCTTTTGGTTAGAAGCTTTGGTTCATCTTTTCTATACCTCCGTTGGCCGTCTCTCTCTCTCTCTCTCTCTCTTAGGCCGCCTTAGCTTTCACCCAACCCAATTCTAGTGGTTTGGTGCCTCCTAGCTGTCTACAATAATTATACTTTTATTCATACTTTGGTTAGTACTTTATCCTACTACAATCTTTTGTCTCTAGGCAATTCTTTTTTCTTTCTATTTTATAAATTTGGCAACCTAGTTTAGTTGTATTGCTTTGTTATTTGTTGGTGCTAGAAGATGAATTGTTGTTTTTTGTGTTGCTGAAAGAGAAGTTTTATTAATTGTCTGATTTCTTTTTTCTTTTTTTTTTCTCTGTTCTTGCAGTACAGGAAGCAACTTAATGACTTTTCAAACACTCCTATTGGAAAAAGTTTTGCTGTGAGTATCACCCAATTTCATGTTGCATGCTGTGCACTTATTGATTGAACTATGTGGCATGATGTTGTTCATCATGTCTAATGAACTTTTTGGTAGGTTAAAGTTAATAGAGAACAATAGGTCCATCCAATAGTTTGGATTAGATTTCTAATCTATTCTGGCTGCTATAGTGAGAATTTGAGTTTGATTGAATCAGCAAGTGTGATATATAATATTAATTATGTAAATGTTAGTCAAAGGGAGCACCTATTCCACAGTGAGTATATTAAGTGGGGAATAGACAAGGCAATGATTTTAATTTTGTTTTTGAAACTAATACTGGTAGCCTAATATTCATGAATTACATTTAAGTATTTCAATTTTCATATATTGTAGTCTCTGGCTGTGCAATTTTCTGTAAGCTCACTTTGTATTTGTTTATATGTGTAGACAATATTCTTCATCTGGTTTGCACTATCTGGATGGCTGTTTCGCTTCTTGATATTAGCAACATGGATACTGCCATTTGCGGGTCCTCTTCTCATTGGAACAGTTGCCAATAATTTAGTCATTAAGGTAAAACAAGCTGCCATTACTTTTCATAGACATTTGTGTTTTTGTATTGATAAATTATTGTTGTTTTAATTTTGTTGATTTGCAGCTGTGCTGGTAATAATGTAATGTACCATCTCATATTACACATGGGGCAATTGGATATAAGCTTAAGTCCTCTTTCAGCATTCAATAAATCAACTCTTGCTTGTCTTTGGTTTTGCCTCATAACACATCCAAATATCCCTCTGTCCTTGGCTTCAGCTAGGATTCACTTTTTTTTAAGAACTGTGTGACATGCCCACCCTTCGTTAGAAATTTTTGTCAGACATGTTTGATTGTATTTGTGCCCCTCTCCTATACTTCTTGTTAGTTGCATTTTGTTGGTGACGGTCTCACATGTTTGTAGCCAGTTTAGTGAAATACATTATAATTCTCACAGGCCGCAGCTGGCTTGCTCTAAATTCACTGACAACTCTTCTACAATGCTTTCCAGTAATATTGGTTCCTCAATTGAATTTATGGAGCGCACACACTTTCTCATAAATTACTTACTATATCCAGTGAGATATTAATACTAGTACTCATAATATGTGTTCAAATGTGTGGGTTTTGAGAGATTAAGTGAAGCCATTGTGGCCATGGAAAAATCTACATAACCGAACTGTTTGGCATATTGTTTTAATTGATTTGAGCAGGGAGCTTGTCCGGCTTGCAAGAGGCAGTTTGTGGGTTTAAAGAGCCAAGTAGTTCGCTGCACGGGTTGTGGAAATATTGTATGGCAACCACAAGGGGATTTCTTCTCGAGAGGTCGTGGAGGCAGTAATCCATCTTCCTCAAAGTCTGAACCTGAAATAATTGACATTGACTTTGAGGAGAAATGAGTAGAGAGCTGGTGACGTGGATTCAACAAGGCACAGAGGATAGGAGACAGATGAGAATGGAAGAGTCGTCTCATAACTTACACGTGAGTTTGGACTCATGTTTTATGTTTTTGTGTATATTAGTTCTCTTGTATTCAGAGTGTTCGTAGGAATTAAATGTGTTAAATTTGTATACTACCTTTGCCTTTGCCTTTACCCGCAAAGTTGACAAATAAGAACCACAGCCAAAACTGTCATACTCAAATTTTCTGCTATTGCTGGGCTGTTATTTCAGTGTACAGGTTGATGTGGAGTAGTTCTAAGAAATGCTGCTTTTGTATTTTATTTGAAGAATCTAATTTCATTCAACTTCCCCACTATACATCTATGTGAAGATTTTTTTATTTTTATTTTTATTTTTATAAAGACCCAAAATATAGTTTATATCTAGTCTTCTTTTAAAGATATGGGGAAGGGGGAGTCATCAATCGATAGGGGCAGAGTGAACCTGCGACCGGTGATCAATGGTATGCATAGACGGGGAGGGTTTAACGAAGCTCCTTCACAGATGACATTGGATTATGATGTGAAGAGATGTTTTAGATGCTAAATTGTAGTACTCTCTCTTTCTCTATCTATCTCTTTCTTTTCGTAATGAAAATGATAGATTGGTGTTATATATTAACAACAATTAACATTAAAAATGATTACATATGGTGGAAGGATAGAAGGCATACTAAATGAAAGTAAAATGAGTTTGCATCAGCATGGCTTTTATTATAAAATTACTTTTAGATTTTCATTTTAATTATCAGTTTTTAGTTTGTTTTAACTTTGGGGTTACTTGTGGTTTTATTACAATTTTTTATTTATAGTTTATATCCTAAATAAGTTAGGTTATCTATAAATTAGGAAAGATATATTTTAGCTTTCCATATTATCATTTTTAGCTTATTTTTAGTTTTTCATTTTAATTATCAGTTTTTAGTTTGTTTTAACTCTTGGGTTACTTGTAGCTTTATTTCAATTTTTTATTTATAGTTTTTATCTTAAATAAGTCAGATTATCTATAAACTAGGAAAGATATATTTTAGCATTCGATATCATCATTTTTTTAGTTTATTGATGTAACAATTTAGATAGTGGTTCAAAAGTTGATAATAAAAAAGGTAACAAATAAAAGTAATTCTCTCTTTAATTTTTAGTAATTAATTTTTGTAATTTGCTTGTGTCATTATTTTTGCTGCATAAAATATTCTTACACAAATTTTTAAAACAAAAAAATATATTATATATATATGAGAAATTACAACAATCTCATCTAATGAGTAAATATTAAATATAACGATAATATTATGTGACTAATTTTATTTTTGACTTTTGATTTTTGATTTATTTTACCTAAGTGCATCTTTAATCTTTTACCAAATCCTTAATCAAATTTATAAAATAAGATCCAATCAATTTATCAAACTTATATTAATCAAGTTTTTTGAAAAGTTTCATCAAATGAAAAATAAATTGAATCTTTTATCAAACTTCAACAACTATTTTTTTATTTAAATTTAACAAAATTGTTAAACGATAAAATATTAGAGACAATTTTTTTAAAAAAATCTGAATTGAGATAATGTTTTTGAGATATATTAGGTGTATTTTTTTAGAAAAAAAAAAATGATTTTTACTAGTTCTAGAAATTATTGAAAAAAAAAAAAAAAAATGGTTGGGAGATGGTGTACGTGAGACACCGGGAAAGGTGGCAGTTGCCGTGGGGCGAAGGCAAAGTGAATTAGGTGACGCGCAACCAAACACCAGTAGCACGAAAAATTATTTGTTTTATATTTTTTATTAATTATTGTATATTATATTTTTTAATTATAATTATAAATTTCATCCTCTTTACTAATTATATTCTCCGTAAAACACCACATAATCGCACTTCAAAACAATCCATAATTATAATTACTCCAGTCCAGTAGCAGAGCAGAGGTTTTATTGCTTCACATTTCAGGAAACAAATAACCCAAAATACATACTCCATAAATAAATATTAAAAATAAATAAATAAACTCTAGTCTCTTCGGGAGCACCACCAGCGCTTCACTCTCTCTCTCGATTCTTTTACTCTACATACACATACACATACACATACACGTAAAACCTAGGTAGGCGAGGCGTGAATTGATCTGGATCGATTTCCTCGGGGATGGGCGATTCGAAGTCGAACTCGAACTCAGATAGAGCAGTCGGCGAAGAAGTTTCGAGACTGATCGATTCGGCCAAGGAGTTACAGGACTCAGCTTCTTCGTTGATTTCAAGAACGACTCGCGAAGACGAAGCCCTGCGACAGCGAGCCCTCGCTCTTGATTCCGCTATTCGCACCCTCCGTTGTTCTATTTCCTCCTTAGTCCGTAATGGCAATTTGGATCCCAAAGAGGCCGACAAAGTAACAACTACTCCAAATCTCAGTCTCTTTCTCTTGCTCTTGCTCTTGCTCTTGCTCTCTATAGAATACAAGTTTTATTTATTTATTTATTTATTGAGATTTTGGATGATATACTCACACTACAGTTTCCTTTCTGTTTCTCTAGTTGGAAGAAGAATTATACAGATCTAGCTACATATTGAGTGAAGGAGATGCGGCCGCTTTTATTCCCAGGAAATCTCATGGTGCCTTTCTGTGTTGTGTTTACTCATTTCATTTATCTATCTATTTTTTTTTTTATTATTTTTTTTATGAATGGGGTTTTTGTTAATTGCATTCGAAAGATGTGATGATTAACTTGCTATTGATTGACGGCAGGACGGTTCTTGAGTATGTTTCTCGGTCCAATTAATGTCCGTGCCACTAGGAAGGATGTTCAATTGAAAGTGAAAGAGGAGTACAATAGCTTCAGGGTATGCTGCCCTACCTTTTCTAGCTCATTTTTTTCTTTTCTGCTTGGAAATATTAACATTATATTAAGTTATTTGGTGAATTTTGTTCCCCCGAGTGATGATTTCATTGCAACAAATGGAGCCTTGTTGATACTTTCTTTCTTTTTTAATATAATTTTTTAACGTGCCCTGTGGATGGATGATCTACAAACCATTTGGAGCGTCCATATCATTTGCTCGGGTTTTTAACTTCCAATTTTTTAAGTCACTTCTAATTTTGTTTTGGATTTTGTCAAGTATAGGTAAATGACTCCTGTTAAGTCTGGCAAGTCAGGCCATGCTCCATCAATAGTGAGTGCAGTTGATTCAAAGCTGAAATGAAACACAAAAGTATATTGGGGAATTGCTCTATCTGCTTAAGGGGCTTTGTAACCCCAAGTCAATATTTGTGTTAAGTCACATGGTGCAGAGTACATGAACGGGTTGGTTTGCTTAGGGCTCTCTGGGTTGATACTTGATGAATTGGAGGAAATGAGAATCGTTAAATGCCTGTCATTTCTGTGAATAAAGGGGGGTTGTAAAGATATTCTGATTTTGACATCGGAGGGGTTATTAGTGGCAATTGAGTGCTCCATTACAACAGTAAGCACCAATGAAGATTTTGCAAAGATTTTTTTTTTAAAAATTAAAAAAAAAAAAAAAATTGAAAATGCTAAGGGATCTCAACAGAACCATATGTATGGGTTATGAAATGAATTTAAATCTTTTTATGTTTCTTGGTATTTTATATCAAGGATCTAGAGAGGAAATTGGGAACCCTTTTGAGGTTAATAAAAGCGTAGGGTCTTGAAAAAAAAGTAATGTGATGTTGTAGAATTTGAATGGAATTAAGGCTTTGTTATTAGAATCATACGATTTACGATTAGAATCGTACGATTCAATTTGATTAAGTGGGTAATCGATGTGAACAGGTTGCGTGAATCGTGAATTGTAATTTACCCTTAAATAATTTTACTTATAATTTACCCTTAAGGGGTGTCAGTGTAATTTACCCTTAATAATTTTACTCGTAGGAAAAATAAGCACACTCATTATTCTTTGGCCAACAGTGTGCTAAATGTAAATGATTTATGTTGGGGTGATTTTTTTCTGATACATATTGTTTTTACCTAAAGAAAAAGATATGCAGTTGTAAATGTTCTTCCCTTACCCCATGTCATGGAATAATGATTGAGGCTGTTAGATTTGTTTTCGTATGGGTGTTTCTGAGATATATCTTTGATGTTTCATTGGTTAATGGTGGTCAAAAGCCTCAGGCATTAGAAGAGAAATATAGTGGACCTTTTCTTCCGCCATCTGGTGGTGTTCTTGATTGAATGAACCAAGGAATGGCTGAATGGGTTTTATTCACAATGTGAGAGGTTTGTTAATTGTTATACGTGGAGGATGCTTCTGTGCTTATCTGACTCTTATTTCTATGGTGTGTATATTTTGATTCTATCTACTCTCAGTATGCAATCAAGCAATTCCTTAAACCATCTCTTAATAATTTTCATCTTGTTATAATATAATTGTTCTCATAATTTTTTATGCCATTGTGGACAGGATAGAACTGCATTTCTGTTTCTTTTTTTCCCATCACTGCTACTTGTGTTAAGGACATGGATATGGGGCGGGTGCTTACCTGCATTGCCAGTTCAGCTTTACCAGGTACTTATGTGGACACAAGTCTTTGTATAACTCCTCTTCTTCATCTGATTTATTTTTTATTTTTGTATTTTGCTTTTGTTTTTGTTTTGAACCATACTGAGCATAGCTTTTTCAGGCCTGGTTATTATATCTCTACACAGGTTTGGCTTTGCGAGAGAACATTCTTAGAGTGAATGGAAGTGATATTCGCCCATGGTAATTGGATATGATTTTTTATGCATTTAGTTGCTCAGATGGTTATGTTCTTATCCTTCACCAGGTCAATTATTTTGATTGAGAATGTGTTTCTTTTAATTTATCATAGAGCTAGACGTTAGTAATTTTCATTTCCTGTACTGTACCTTTCAGGGAGAAAAGGGACTTAAAAATTTTACAGGCAATGAATTTATGAAATAAAATAGAGTTAGTGCCAGAAGAATCATTTTGTAACTTCCATGCGTAAAGATAGTATGATATTACGGTAAATGAATTCCATTTACTCTGTAGTCTAAGATTCACTGCGATTACAACAAGAATAGTGAGGGCAGAGTGTATGAGAAAAAATGTGGTTGTCAATAACAAAAGAATAGAGGATATGGTTCTAGATGGAGCTGTATGTTGTAAAAGAATTCATCTAGTTGACTTTAACTAGAGGGATTAAACTTTGTTGAATTGCATATTTCTGGTGGTCTCTTGTTCTCTTATATTGATACTTATGTGCTACTACATTCTAATTCCAGGAATATGTTGAATATAGTTTTAACTTATGTCATGCTCTTTTATTCAACTGGTCCCTCATTACATTAACTTAATTTGCCAAGTTGCTTCATGACTTAGATGACAATGTGAAAATGCAGTGGATTTCTTTGTGATTCTCATCTGCCCCATCCTTGATTAATAGACAACCACAGGACATCTTAATTCATGACACTTGTGTTATTGTAGGTGGATATACCATCACTACTTTGCTATGGCTATGGCACTTATCAGTCTCACTTGGGAGATAGAAAGGGAACCTGATTGTGCCCAGAAGCAGGTTACTATATTTGAATTGTATATTGAAATTTAGTTTACTTCTTTATTTATTGAGACTGTACATGTATTGTGCAGAGAGGGGTACAACTGTTCCTGAAATGGGCCATAATGCAAGGTGTTGCAATGCTTCTACAAAATAGATATCAACGGCAAAGACTCTACACACGTATTGCACTGGGCAAGGTGCAACTAGAGAAAACCTTTTTATTTTCTTCTTTTCTTCCTGTCCATGCTCTTTTTGAAGCATTGACTTCTTGCATGGTTTGCTGAAATTTAATGAGTTCTTTTGAAATAACCATGCATATCAATCTTAGCTGATGCATGTTAGTTTTTTTATAACCCACCAAAATGCCAATGGAACTTCATTTTGGTGGGCATTATCAGAAATTTTTAGGTTGCTGATGTTTTTTCTCTAAAGGTCTGGCGAGGCTCTTACCTTTTGATCCTTTTGCTGGTCATAGGCTAGGAGAATGGATGTTGTTTGGGGAGAAACTGCTGGAGTCGAAGGTCAACTGTGGCTGTTGGCACCCATTCTATTCATATTGCAGGTGATTCAACTTATACAAATGACTGTCTTGGGGATCATGGCCATGATGATTGTATTAATATATGCTTTGTGCTTCTAGTCATTTTGAATCAAACATGAAAGTGATCTGAATCAAGATTATTGAATTGACAAATATTTTTCCCACAAAAACTTACCGAACTTTTTTTCTACGGAAAGGAATTTATTTCATTAAATATCATACCCGTCGTTACAGACAAACATATACAAGTGTTTTCTTTCATTTCTTGCAGAAGTTGTAGTCATATTATTAATCTCTTTCTGTTTTCCATCTGAGAATTTTGTAGTTTTGTGTATCAAGTTTCTTCTTTTCATAACCTTCTGTCTCTCTCTTTGTAAATTTCTTGGCCCACTTGTCGCTATGTAGTTCGTGGAACGACTAGTGTACATATCAAGATATTAGAAAGAAGAGGTATTATACTCTCCAAAAGGAAATAATCCATAAATCTTTGCATGATAATCATTAGTAGCTCAATCTTTTGCTGGAAAAAGACAATGAAGTACTTCAAAAGAAAATTACTAACGGCCTGCCATCAATGTCATTAACTATGGCTTCTCAAGGCTCAAGGCCTTGCATTTGCTCAATAGTTGTACAAGATATTTTCTTCAGTAGTAGTCCTCCGAAATACCAAATATTTTCTTCAGTATTAGGCCTTGGAAATCAATTGTTCTCTTTCATTCGTTACAAATCCAATTAAAGAATTACCCTAAAGACTGAGCCAAATCAAAGTTACCATTATTTGTGTGTACACTGATTTCAGGGTTTTGAAGCATATGTCGGAATGTTGCTACTTAAAACTGCACTGGTTGGTGTTGTTTCGGAGTGGCAGGTAAGAACTATCTTATAGTATTAAGCAGACCCGCTGGAGTTCTATTTTCATGGCTTTTATTTTTGTGACGTGCTTGAGCTTTCCAGGTTAAATTCTTAATTACATTTCAGTATATATGCTCAAGTAATTTACTGTCATGTAGCACTAAATGGATTGCCTAACTTGATTTGGCAGGTGACCACTTGTGGGATCCTTCTGATTATCATGGCAGCTGGGAATTTTGCAAACACAGTAGAAACACTTTTGGCAAAATCTCGGTTTAAAGCAAAAATGAAGAAAAGTAAAAGTAAGCCAGAACTAAATCCACAATCCCATTCTTAAGAATTTGTGAATGGAGATTCTTTTGCACACTGAGTTGAGGATATGGGATCAGGAATTAGGAAAATTTTCTTTCTCAACCCATTCTTACTTGTAACAACTTTTTCACCTTTATACTTGTAGACCATCAATGCTGTTTGTGAGCGCGACCTTTGATTGCATACAATTGAGCTGTAGGTTGGTTGTTAAAGTTTGAACTAAAAGGTCAATCATACATGCTGTGACAGTTATGCTTGATGTTTTCACACATAGCTTCGATTTTTATTTTTTATTTTTGTCATTTAGGTGATGTGTAATTTGTCTTGGATGTTGAGGTGTGTCATACTAACATTTTGGCACATAACATTATCATTTTCTATTTTAGTGTACAAATGTTCAAACAGATTATGCCATTACTCTTTTTGAGTGCTTTACGTTACTGTCTTCTGTCTCATTTTGGAGGACCATTTACGGTGTGTTTGGTTTGAAAATTTGAGAAAGAATTTGGAAAAAGAAATGAAAAAGGTAAGTGAAATGTGAATAAAATATATTTATATTTTATTTAGTTTCACACACTTTTTTCTTTTTTTTTTTTTCCAAATTCATTTCCAATTCTCCCAACCAAACATAGCATTAGGGTTACGAAATCAGTGTGAACATTACACTTTCTTTGTAGTGTTACAATTGTTTTTCGAACTTTTTATCTGTGTGAGTCTTGTGGTACTTATTCATGTACTAGAAAGTGTGGTAAACCATTGTAGCCTACACCTTCCAAAAGTTATAATTTTGGAGATTTGAGCAGGAATGAAACTATTCCAAAGTATACCCTTCCGTTTCACAATGGTACGAGTAGCTTAAATATGGGTGTAAAGACATCACAAAGTTTTACTTTCCTGTCATAAAATCTCTATTCTTTTCGTAAATTTCCAGAGAGAATGACGAGATTAGCTTGATTTGTTGTAGATGTGTACATTAGGATTATGTTTGTTTGGATGGATTAGAGTAGATGATATCAACATTTTTATGACTGTACGTTATGTGATTATTATTATTTTTGAATCAGTGGTGTTATATGCACCAATTAGTATATTAATTATTGTATCAATATCAGTTATGACATTATTATTGACTTCACTTATTATTCAAATTATAAATATTAAAAATTTCTTAAATTATGTTACATCATCAATTGGTATATTAATTAATACACTAATTGATGCATATAACATTATTCTTTTTAAATTATGTATCTTAATCTATGTTTGAATGCACCCCAAATTATGAGGTATTGACAAAGATTTTATCCAGTTTATAATTTAGTCGATTAGTCTGAATCTCTTCCTATTTTTACATATTGTATCCTAACCCAATCGTCATGTTTTAGCAGCCAATTAAAATAGTTATGTCTTGGTGGTCAATTAATTTAGACCTAATTTTCTTAATCAAAAAGTAATATATTTTGTTGAATTATTAATCCAATTATAAGGTTATGTCGATCCGAACAACCATGGCCTTGTTTGTAATGTAATCCACATTGTACGTGTACAAAAATTTTTGCAACATGCATTGAATTATTTGATTCTCTTTTATTTCAACGAAATTTTGTTTCTCTTACAAGTTGCTGTCGCCCTAGGAAATGACTAGAAAATATAAATAAAAAAGAGCGAAAATGAAACACCACTGCAGGAAAATGGTTAATTTGACCCACTGCCACACTGCTCAATCAAGTTTCTGAAACAACTCTGCTTTCAAAATTTGTTACCAATTAATAGGATTCCCATGCTGACTGCGTTGATGTTGCCTCAAGAATGGGCAGGGTGAGAGCTAAATCACCAGAGTTGAACCCATGTTTCTCCAGGAGTTCCTTGATTAGATCACCTACCGTGTAAGAAACACAAGAGGCCATAAACCCGACGATAACATAGTACATTACTGTTTTTATATAAGCCTTCAGTGGCCTTTGAACGTAAGCCTTTCCGGTAGCAAGTATAGTGACGCACAGAAGAGAAGCTACAGCAACTGCAATGAGTTTGAAATCTCTGTTGTTACTCTCGCGAAAAGAGAAGCCGTATATGACAGGTGGCAGTAAGCCAAAAATGAGAAATGATAAGATGACGACTGTTGCATGAAGCAAGAAATTTTCTCTCCGGCCCAGTAGTTCTTGGTACTTGTCTAGTCTCTCAGTTACTTGATGGGAAGAAACACCCTCGTAACGGTCATTTTTCAACTCCCACAGCTGTAAGATTACATGTAAGTTCAAGATGGAAGTAACATGGATATAGGTTAAAATAAACAGATTCTATGGACATATCATGGTTCAAGTTACTACTTTTACCAAGACACATCATCACTACTAGGGTTCCAATCCAACCATGTTTTTTCTCTATAATATCTGCTGTAACGTTACATGTACAGTGAGGAACAAAAACAACAATAAGATCATTTGAGAGAACCAAAAATTACCAGTCCTGTTACATGCTATGTTGCATGGACGGGAGTCGAGTGTGGATGCATATCTAGATGTCGGACGCATCAAAAGCTTGTTTGGCATCCCCTAAATAAGTGCACTTATTTAGATAAGTGCACTTATTTGGATCATATTACCTCTCTACTTTCCTACACGTCAAATTTAAGGATACGTGGACTTGGAAAAAGAACATGAATTAATCATAATTTTTGCAAAACTCACCTAATTTCCAATCATCTTGACAAAAGCATTTCTACATGAACCTAATTTTTTATTTGACAAGTGCGACTACTATGATTTTTGGAATGACTACTACATTTATTGATTGCAACATTGGCAAAAGCACGAGAGAAACTCACATTATGACCAATGATGAATAGTCCACCAATCAGATTAGCCAATCCCAAAGCCAAAATATTTGCTGCAATAATAGAAGACAAATATTAATCACCAAGATATATGCATATTTCACAGACCCAAAGAAAATAAACAGTTACAGAACAACATATAAGCACATGAAAGGAAAATTTTAAAACAATTTTTGCAATACAAAGGCAACAACCCTAGAAAGGATGTCATGGTAATCCCATATGAAACAAGAGCACCATGTCATATCATCAATACAGAAGGAGATCAGTAAAAAGTGTCTTGATTCAGATGCTTGCTAATTTCAGCAATTTTTTTTTTTTCCCCAAAAGATTTCAGAAAAAGATGCACATTACGTTAGGCACAGGTGTCTGAACAGAGAATAACAATTTTCAGCTCGGCGATTTTTCAAATTGCTTTTTGTTATTAATGTTATCTTTTAGTCACAAGTTATGGATCTATCAAACCAAAAAAAAGGTGTCAATTATTAACTTACTCTTGTGATTTACCGAAAAGTAGATTAGGATCGGCTACTATTAGTGTATCAGTATTATAGTTTTAGTAGTACACCCATTTTAAATAAAACCCATGCATTTTTTGAAAAATTACAGAGGGAACATCCTGTCTCACTTGTGACCAAATTAACCATTTTGCAGTAGTGACTTGTACAAAATTAAGTTAAAAGAGTAAAATTTTTCATGTCCATTCGGATATGTACAATCTTTCAAAGCAATTACCAACTATCATCCTAATTCAAGAATACTTAAACCAAAACTGCAATTTCTTCTCCTGAAGTTGATAATTGCCCACCTTTTCTGCAGTAGTAAAAGCTTGGCAGGTTTGAGTCTCAAGGCAACCATTGTATATATAGTAGAAATTAACAATTTACAAATACCTCATACTATATCATGAATAGGAACCTAACAAAATCTAATCATCAATCAATTGTTTTAACTCTAATCATCGATCAATTGTTTTAACTCTAATCATTGATCAATTGTTTTAGCCTAAGCACGGCTGAAAGAAAAATCTAACACTTACATGTGGCGGCATCAGCACCTGCTGCAGACGACACAATACCTAGGCTTGTAATTGATTCAATCAGCCCACCATACACAATACTTTTTATTACATCCAATCCTTGAAAACCTCTAGCTTCAGTAATTTCAGTATGTGGTGAAGGCCCTATTGCTGCTGAAGCAACAATATCTCGTGCTTCGTGAGGCTCTGCTGGTTCAACAGGCCCTTCTTTTATGATAATGATTGTGTCACTGCCTGCAACATATTTTAATAAGACAACAATTTGACAAATAAGGTTTAAAGTAGGCAAATATTATGGACGAGACAAAAAGAATAAGAGCATGCTTTATAATAATAAAGACCTTTATGGGACGAAGAATTTGGTTAGTCTTGCAAACAAAAGAAGATAAGAGAAAATTAGTTTAGCAATCACAAAATCATTTGATTTGTGGGGAGGCTAGTAGAATGTGCTTCAAGCAAAGAACAGTTACCCTACACAGAACCTACGAGCATATGCTCCTCCTGTTACGACATTTTGTACTTTTTGGTTATGAGTCAAGTGTGTAGTTATGACCCATTTGTGATTATGGGGTCTGAATTTTTCATTTGGAACTAGTAGTGTACGACTGGTTTCAGCTGAAAATATCACAATTTATTAGTACTACATGAGAATAGGGAAGAAAAAAAGGGGTTTTTGTTCAATTAGTAAGTTCATAATTACCCTATGCAAACCTTATTAGTTTTTTTTAATAAGAAATAACAAACTATCAACTTAATCAGTTGATGATATATTTTAACTACTATTTATATCATCAGCTTTTCCTGTTATTACAAAAATCAAATTTGAAAATTTTGGTTACTAAAGTGGTTTGCAACAACATAATAATACCAGGGGATGATAGCAGAGGCAATTCAACACCCCAAAACTCTTTCTACCATTATTTCTTCTCTTGTGAAAAAAACATTCTATGTAGTTATTTGTGGATATAACAAACTTATGTTTTAGAGACCTCCAAAAGTAAGAACATCATATCCTCAGACACCCTCAGAAGACAAACATCTCAACTATCAACTCTCTCCATGCTTACCCAATACACATTGTCTGCAGATGACTATGCATATTTGTAGCGAATGGTCTCACCTCAAAAATGGGTCAGGGATACATTGGTGTAACAAAAAAACAGAAAACAAGAAAATTTCTTACCTGCACTGGTTTTTGCTGGCATATCCTTCAAATCTTTAGTAGTATTGATTAGTCTTTCAGGACGCAATAAAACATCCTGTACAGATAGAGTAAGGGCGTCGGTATCAGCTTTCAAGGGCTCCTCTACATGAATGTCCACTTTGGTGCCAATGATGGCATGCGAAGAAACTCCAGAGGGATAGGCTGCATCTGGCAATGTAAAGTATTGTTATCTTCACAAGCAAAGGCATGTCTGAATTTTGCCATGAACATTATCAAATTTATTGAAATTGTGCAGATAGAAAAGCCCTGATCACCATTCTATGGAAAGCAAATTCATATGACATTAACATAAATTGCAATACATTACATGACTATTAATTTCAATCATGTCAAAATGTTTCTTATTACCAGGCACATGGAAAAGCACCAAAGAAGCTTCTGATGAGTGTGCTTACTTAAAAAGAACATTAAATGATACTAGCCATGATGTCATAGACTCATTGTACTACACAAGTAACATTCAGAGTACAAATTATTAAATGAGTCTAGTTTTGGGTTAAGGTAACATTGCAACTCAAAGTGATCCCTAAGCAGGGTCAACTCAGTTTCCTGCCTCACCAGAATACTTTTAAAAGCCATCATCCTCCCCTACTGGCCTGATTTTGGCCTGATTTTGGCTTACATATGCTAATCATTTCAAAAACTAAATCTGTAATAGTTGGCTACTTGGATATACTAAAAAAGACAAGCATAAGGACATTATCTCAATTTTTCTTTGCAATCTAAGGTAAATGAAACATTATGCATACAACTAGGTTAGGTTCGAAGTGCCGCACCCCTAGCCTAGCCCGAAAGGAAACCCAGCCCCAGTGTACCTTGCAAAGGTGGAAATTGCCACCCCTAACCTAACCCTAAGGGAGCATGCTTTGGCAACGTCCGTCGAATTACTATAGTTTCATATGTTGCTAAATGGTAACTGCCATATTCTAACAGGCCATTCCTTGAGTAGTTGAAAATTGACATCAACATGTTCCCAACAACACCATTCACCAAGGTACCCCCAGTAATTTCAATCTGTAACCACAGAAAGTGAGGAAAATAAAATATGTACTTACTATTACTTTTGCAAGGTCTGGTGGCACATGCTATCAACAGTTGGAGATTGCAAGGCAGAAGGACAAGAGAAGTGCATATAATAAGAAGTAGTTTATAGGACAAGCTATACAAAATTTCACTTACATACCGTTACCATTTAGTTTGAGTTGCTCATTTTTATCTTCAACTATAGATTTGGTGGGAAGTTTGACCTGCCCATTTTCAGAAGGAAGATCTACTACAATATTCACTTTCTCATTAATATCCAACTCTCCAAGTACTGAAACTGGTTTCGACAATAACAAGATTGATGAGCCTTTATCATCTGCACATGTTCAATTCAATATGCAATAAAAATTCAAATGAGAAAATAAATCCATCACTTCAAAGTCCTGAACAACAAAATTAACATTTTGCAGATAGCATTAAAGCAAGGGAAAAAACAAGCAGCTTCAAAAGACATAAGCACCTCTTGTACATACAATACTCCGTGCTTCTCAAATGTTTAAACTTTACAAAAAAGAATACGTACAGACTAAGCTAAAGTAGAAGTTTGGCAATAAAATTATGTGGTTATACTAGAGGGGTGTTAGCATTGTCAAACATGGCTTTTGTACTATAGTCAGTGCATCACTGTCATCATTCAACATCAGAAACTATACCTGCACTTTTCCTTTCTATTGCCACATTGAGTTTCTGGTCTGTCTGTGATTTCTCAAGAGTTATATACTCTGCACTTGAATGAACTAAAATCTTTAGTCCATCTTGTTGAGGTTTGAAGACAGCAGTTTCAGCTGGTTCTTCAGTATGCACCGATCTTTTTCCAGTAATTTGTGTTGCTGGATGATCACTTTCATGATTCAGTAGCATTTCATCCGAAAATCTTGATAAATTCAACTGATTAACAGTATCTAATTCAGGATGGTACGGTGCAGCCCTCTCTGTAACAGATTTCAATCAAAATATGCAACAGTCAGCATAAAATGTTACATACATCTTATGATTCAAACTGCTGGCAAAATACATGTACCATTGTCCAACCACGATTATCAAATACCGTCAATAACCAATCAACTTTGGGGAACATTACTAGTGAGAAAGATAAGCATGAGGTACTTCATGCTTCAGTAACAGAAGATGGAACACAAATCCTTCTGTCGGTTTCATTAATTTCCAGAGGACATCTGATAAAAGGCTAAACATGCAAGTATGCATTAGAAGATGAGCTTTGGCCATTATTGCATATTCTAACATCTCTATGTGAATAAATCATATGCATACAGCATGCCAAATCCATTAATTAGACATTGATAGTTGTGGTAGCATGTGCAGCAGGACCAAACTACATAATTTTAGTCAGATGAGATGACTTTGTAATGGTTTTAGGTTTAGAAAAAACCAAACTGCATAAATTTAGTCAGATGAGATGACTTTGTAATGGTTTTAGGTTCAGAAAAAAATCCAAACAATCTTCCTACTTCACAAAGTGGTCCATTCATCATTCACAAGCAAAACTGCCGTACCTGTTTGTTTTTTCATTACATCAACTAATTTCTCTCCTCTGTCGGCTAAAACTTTCTCAAGAAGTTCGGAGCCTTGCGTTGAAGAAGGCACGATATCATCTCCACCTTCTGGAGGTTCAGCACTACCGGTTATTACAAGTCCATGAGCACCAAACAATTGAGGAGGTGATGTAACTTCTTGGTTTGATGCTGCAACAATATTTGCATTAGCACATTAAACAACGGTATGCCTAGAAACATAAGCACAGGGACAGTTTATGATTACTGAACATATATAGGGTATCACTAGAATATTGTTAATATTATAATTGTCACGCTAAGTTCTTCAGTAAACACTTTTACTTTTCTTTATAAGTACTAGTGATATTATATTGACTTTAATATCTTCACTATTTAATGGCAAACCACACCTCCAACAGATGCCCTTTCATTTCCACGCAACTCATTTCCACTACTATTTCCCCCCCAATTTAATTCCCCCAACCATAGATAGCCTGAAATATTTGCTTCTAACTGGTTTACAATTTCTCCAAGGCAGGAAATTAGTATGCTTAAAACACACTACCTCAGTATGGAAATCTTTATATAATAAGACAGTAGGTGTAACATGAAAAAAATAATTACTTGTCCACAGTAATTTAAAAGAAATAGATCTTCTAGTTAAGACAACCAATTCCAATATGGCAATATATTGCAAATTTTAGCTCAGTAGATAGCAATCATAGCATATAACTTTACTAACACATAAAGCACTTAAAGGAACTAGTGAAAAGATGAAGCAACAAATATTTCAAGCCTAATCAAGTTTGACAGTTGAAAGGATAGCAGATGATTCAGTACCTGGCACGATCAACAATTCATCGTTACGTGATGCAAAAATAGATGAAAGCCAATTTTTCTTCTTTGCTGATATTTGTTGAGGATTTTGCATGGTTTCCTTGTCCCTTTTATCTCCAAATATATTGAACATCTTAAAACCATTACCTGTGAAATTTAATTAGATATGTAAATTTTCTGTCAATAGTAAGAACCTGAACATTACTTTCCCAAATACCATGAAAAAGAACAGTTTTCATTGCCAACCCCATGAGAAATCACATCCAAATAATGATAATGCAAACAAATATGAAAAATTAAAAAGAAAAAAGCTTTCTGCTAAGCTGGAGTAGTTTTGTACCAGTAGGAATGAAAAAGCTGAAGCATGATAAACATCTGAAAATCTCTGGCTCTCTGTCACGATTGTTGTCATTGGCTGCAGGTGTTGGACTACCATCCAAGGAAAAATCAACTGCATTATGACCTTGATCGTTGGTTGCATGGCCAGAAATAGCATCTAACTCAGATGCAACTACTGTTTCCAATTTGTTACGTTTTGCATCTTCACCAGGAATTCGAATTTTGCGTTTTCGTTTACGAAGAATAACTCTTCTGGTAATGCAAGAATTGCAATTTGGACAGTACAAGTCATGTGTATCCTGCTTCTCTAATACTCCCTCAACGTCTAATTCTGCCAATTCCTGATCACTCTCCTTTATTAGCTCAGTATCATCACATGCTACTGTTATATCACTGATAGATTTGTTTGTGTTATGTTCTTCAAATGACTTTCCAGAGAAGCTGCCATCCTTCAGGATTTGCTTGTGTTGATGGTTAATTACAGTGCTTTGACTGACAAAATTATTTTCTGTGATGACTAATCCATCATCTCCAGGATTTTTCTCAGAAGAAAAAACTTGAACACTACTATTTTCTGTCATAGAGAGTCCATTAATGGATTTAGTATCTGCAATCATGTAGCAAACAAACATTCATTACAAACTCTTGCTTTTAAAATGTATACACACAAAATGTCCATCGACAGAGTTGATATTCTTAAAATGCACAATCACAGTCTCTTTTTTCGTAGGTACACATGCCAGTCACGAACATCTTGAGATAAGCTGTGCGCTTGTATGTTTCACGTGTTACAGTGTAATCTATAACTAATTTCAGTTAACATGAAAAATAACAAGGACGCAATCTATGATGCATTTGTGCATAAGTTTTCAGTACAATCATAAATTTAGAGTAACAAAAGATAAAAATTGAACAAAATTAGTACTATCCTAATTTTTACTTTATGAAATGTAAATATTAATAATAAAAAGTGTATAGTTTTCTCTCCTTTATTTTTACAAAATTTTAGGTACCTATTACTTTGGCCCCTGTAAAGAATCTTCTAGCTACAATTGAATAACCAAACAGCTCCAGGATAAATAGTTTTCTTTCTTTCTTTCTTTTTTTTTGAAAACATCTCTATGATCAATGTTATTCAAAATTAACATAGAAAAATCCATATCTGTTAACAGATAACAGCAATTTGTACTAATTGTCATTTTCCACACATACTTTGTTTTCTAGAAATCATGGTATCTAATCTACTGACCTTTAATTTCACAATAGAAACATTGTCCCTGTTGATCTACAGTTTCGACATGCATCGGCATATGCAATTGCCACTTGCACTTAGGATGCTGAGTGTGATCAATCCACGGACTTCCACTTTGGTAGGTCCAAAAGCAGTTTCGACATTTCCATATTCCTTCATTCATAATAAGAAATAAAATAATTGCAATTTTACCAAAATTGCCCATTCTTAAGGAATGAATTGAGTAATGCACTCAAAGTGGTCTCGCAAGCAAGGGTGCAAGATATACAAGAATGGGTTTATGTTTTATAAATACGTAAAAGCTTAGACAGATCAAAACAGAAGTATGAAATTTATCAAATTCCAGACAAAGCAGAGCATTGGTGAAGATTCATCTAGAAAAATGAGTTGTTTCCTACAGCATAATCCACATTTCCAACTAACTCACGAAAAAAAAAAAAAAAAAGAAATAGAAAACAATTATTGCACGTTCAACGATTACCAAAATCATCCCATACTAAAGGAATGAATCAAATAACTTGGTTGAGATGGTTTCACAGGCAAGATACATGCTACAAACATTGGCTATGTTTAGTAAGTAAAAGCCTGTAAATTTATATGAAAAAAATCAGGATATGACCATGAGATTTAGCGATCAAAACTATGGCATAGATATATCTAGAAATGGATTGCAAATTTGCAGTTTTAGGTGACAATTTGAATAAGAAAGCATGGGTGAATCAAATGACCACAGTGACAATATGGTATACATAATTTTGGTGTTATTAAAGATCTAGCCTCAAGGTCACATCACATTCACCAATTGAGGGAGATAGACTCTTACTGCAATTACTTGCATATTACTGACTTTCACAGTAACAATATCCTGAAAAGTAACCCACAGAATCACGACACGGAGAATATGTGAATGTTAGTATAATCAACCAATCTTAGTAACACCAACAATCAATCCCTTGCTTGAATACGGATGTTCCAACAAACATGCACATATTAACACAAAAACATGTTTGAGGAGGTGAAATTTTTTTTTTTTACTTCAAGCAGAACCGGTGAAGGTGGGCTCCCCAGGGCAAATCTCAAAACATATTTGTTAGGTACCTCTCCCTGCAACCGCTACAAAAACATACATGTAGATGCGATATCGAATGCCATAAAAACATAATAGCAATTGATTTTAGGTAACATGGTGGAACTCAGTCCAATAAGTTGTATTAGAGTCAGGTTGTCATGTCATGGGAGCATCATTGTGAGGGAACGATTATTAGTTACACAATGTCCCTTGTCACGACCACTCTAAAAATAAGCCTGCGGGTGGGGTGCACCATAAAAGAAACCCTCCCTAACACGTTTTAGGTGAGATGGCGGAATTGGATTCAACATTATTCGTTCTTTACAGATTGAGAATGGAAGAGAGGTTGCATTTGTTCAATACATATATACTAAAGAAATATTTTGGGATGAGGGGGAAGAGGAAGGGGCAAGGAATTAGTAAAAGAAAGCTGAGGCAGTAGGGTCTAAGGGGCATTGCTGTAATTTGAAATCTTCTTATATTATAGTTTTGTTGTTTCAAAAACCCTACTTCAATTTACGAATATGATGATCATGATGAATGAATGAATGAATGAATTCAACCATACGCAAGAAAGACCGACTCACATATTCATAAAATACATACATACAAACATACATACATACATAAAATGGCTATTAAATAAATAAATAAATGTACCTTGGTCATTGTCAAAGTAAACGTTCCATTTAGAAGCTCCTCCTCCATTACCATCACCATTACCATTTGGAAGCTCCTGCTGTCGATATTCTCCGTCTCCAAATCCATTGGAAGGCTCTGGGGAGGTCACCATTACATCACCATTACTACTCTCACCAATACTTGCAGCGGCGGCGGTGGTGTTGGGAAGCCGAGGCCGCCTTCCTTGCAAAGCCACCGCGTCCGCCGCGACATCCGCCTCCTCCTCCTCCGCTTGCTGCCATTGTTGCTCTGCTGCTATTTCCATTTCCATTTCTATTTCTGAAAAAACACACTCCAATGCTTCACCAGTCTCTCTCTCTACTCTCTCTCTCTCTCTCTCTCTCTCTCAGATTATAACTCTCTCTTTTTTTTTCTCGTGTTTTTTTTTTTTTTATGTGATCAATTACTGTAATTGGTCAATAACCCTATATATGTATTCATTCAGGCGTAAACTGCAAGCAAAAAATAATTTTTTTAAAGTTTTGAAGCTGTTGGGATTTGTGAACCTTATCTCCAATGGCCCTGACCCCAACAACTTTTTGAAAAACGCTTATCAATGCTATCTATACATACAACCGTACTGCTGTATACATTAATATATCAATATTAATTATAATATTATTATTTATTTTATAAATTATAACTATTAAATTTTTTTTAAATTATATCACATTATCCATTAATATAATAATTAATATATATAACATTATTCCACCTACAAACACACGTGATGCCAACTTGCATCATCATCAAGCCATGACTTGAAGAATTTTAAATTATATTATAAAATGAATCTTCTCCCAAATAAATTAGAGGAAATATAATATCAGTTTCGATTCAGACTACTAAGATCATCTCCAATGCTTTATTAAATTTGGCATCAAATTTAAAATTTAATGAAAAAGTCACTTTTTTGAGCTCCAATGGTTTCACCAAATCAATATCAAATTGAAAATTCACTAAACATTTCACCAAAATGAGAACAGGCGCAGCATTTCATCAAATCACTGTTCCTGACCGTTGGCGGAGACCAACCGGTTGACTGGCCGGTTGACCAACCGGTCGACCACTAAAGGGTTCAAACAGTTCAAAAAAAAGTTCAAACAGTTCAAAAAAATTTTTTTTTGCCTTGCCGATCGACCAGCCGATCATTCCGGAAAAAAGTTCAGTCAGTTCACTGAAAAGGTTCAAATAATTCAAAAAAAAAAAATTCTCTTCACCGGTCGACCAACCGGTTGTTCCGGCGCAGATTTGATGAAAATTTGATTTGATGAACCATTGGAGCCCTCCGTATCAAAATAAGAAAAAAGTTACTTTTTTACTCAGATTTGATGAAAATTTTGGTGAACCGTTGGAGATGCTCTAAGGGCTGGTTTGGGGTACACTATATAATCCATCTTTTTATCTTTTTTTCATTACATCACCTCTCTATTTTTTTGCATATCTTTTCATAAAAAGACAAAAAATATACTTTTTTAGGACACCCCAAACCAACCTTAGGGATTGTTTAGGATGACCTAAATAAGTTTACTTTTTATCTTTTTACGAAAAGATGTGCAAAAAGTAGAGAAGTGACGTGATAGAAAAAAGATAAAAAAATAAATTATTTTTGGGTTGTCAAACTTGACCTTAATACACCATTATTAAAAACAGCACTAATGATGTTACAGTATAAGAAAAAAAGAAAAATATTAAAGACCAAATTATCATATCAATATGAGATCCACGTCTCACCACATTATTAGTAGTCTGTTTAATAATGTTAAATTAGTGATATAAAATATTTTTGATATAATATATTGGAGCAAATGGCTCGTCTCTTGGGTTCACGTTCACCGCATTCCCTATGTTCGGCGTGGTTTGGTATTTTTTTTCTTTCTTTTTTTTTTTTTTAATTGGAGCCAAATTTTTAAAAAAAATTTAACTTGTTCAATGTAGGAAATTTTTTTAAAGTCATGTATTTTAAATTTTTTTAGTAGACTATTTATCAAATAATTTTCGTTCTACGTTTTTTATTAGTCTAATTAAGTAAAATTTAAAAGTATGAAACATTTTTAAAAACTCAAAAAAAATTTTACTTAAAAAAATTAATAAGAAAATCACTAAAAAATCAATCTCAAACTAGCTAAATTATTAACAATGATTCAATGAAGTAAAATTAGAAGGGAGCTAAAGATGAGAGAAATGAGTATGAGAACATTTTACATGGATCTTAATCATGTCATTGAGATTGAAATAGGAGGGGCAAAATTAGGAGCTGTATTATGACTATTAATTTATGTATAAAAAAATAAAAAATAAATATAATTTAAAAAATAAATCTTTAATAAAATGCCTATTTAGGTCTCGTTTGACAATTACACATTGCCTTGTTTGGGAAGCTAAAAATAGACTTTTTTTTAGACTGAAATTTACAAAAAGACAAAATAAGATAAAATAGTCAATAAGACAAAATGTCACATCAAATTCATAATTATTTCATTTTTTTTTCTCATAAATATCGCATTCAACTTAAAAAAATCTAACATTCTTTCAAAATATAAATATTTTAACCTATTAAAATATCTAAAAACTAAAATAGTCAACTTCTCAAACAAGGCCATTGTAGTCTAAAAGTAAAAAAAAATCACTAAAGCCAACAAATATAAAAAAAATCAAAAATTATTTCCATTTATCCTACTTTTTGTACATATTTTTGTAAAAAAATAAAAATTCATTCTAAGTAATTTTTTTCACCTCCTATTTTAACTAAAAACCTAAAAAACTAAAAAATCACTTAAAAAAAAAAAAAATCTAGTCCCAAACGAATATCCACCGAAGCAAAACGTTGGGGTTAGTCTTTTCAGCCAATTGAAGCCAAGTTGGACCCAACCCTCCCAATTTACTTATGTAGCATTGATTTGTAGTTCTAAATTTGAAACACTAAGCCTTTGTTTGGCAAGTGGGTTTATAGGCTTTTTTAGTTATTTTAATCACAAAAAATAAAATAAGCTATTTTAGCCATAACAAACAAAACATCACATCCAACCCATAATCATTACATTCTTCTCTCACAAAAAAACTCAAAAAAGCCAAAAAGCCAAAAAGTCCTTCCCAAACCAAGCTTTTAAGCCCAGGCTAAAATAGCCAAAAAAGCCAAAAAGCTAAAGACCAACCCACTTCCCAAACGGAGATGTCAAATTGTTTTAACAAGCTCATTAGCCTGCTTGGATTTATTTTCAAAATTTCAATACTGCATAGTCAATATCTTAAAATTTTACAAAGTATTGATTAATATATACATAAAATTATAAAAGTAATAATTTAAGTAATATTTCAATAATTTTAGCCCTCTCACTTCTTTTTCTTCTCTCTCTCACGTGCGCGCACACTCACACACATACAAACTTAGACTAAGTTTGGCATCCCCTAAAAAAGCTAAAAAGCTAAAAAGTTATTATCTTATTTAAGTCATATCATCTAATTTAAGTCACATTACCTCTATATCACATCACTTCAAACTTAATTCATATTTCATAAAAAATCAAAAAGTACACTTATTTAGAACATCCCAAATAATCCTATTCTCTCACACACACAGTCAATTGCAAGAGTTGGGACTAAGTGGCAGTGAAGGGTTGTGGGGTGTGTTGGAGTGAAGCTAACAAAGGGACGATGGTGGCGGTGATGGATTGTAGAAGGCCAGGTGATGGCAGATAAGATAGGAGAAGGTACGGGCTAGAGCTATTGTGGTTGGAGTGAGAGGGTGAGGGTGGGATTAAGATTAGGATTTAGAAAATTAAGAATGATAATAAAATATGAATTTTATGTTAGAATAAAATTATAATTAAAAATATAAGAGGTGAGTGTTGTAAAGAAAAAAAAATAAAAAAGGATACGACTATTAGCAGCTCTCAATATTTTATTTAGTCAACCCATGCATGTATGATTTGTAAAAAAATTTAAATATTGAGAGTTAATATTATTAATAAGGATTTATACCAGGCAGTTACAGAAGCAGGGTAGGTGTTGTCACAACACCATGTTGTAACAACCAAATAATGTCGTTTTGTCAACATGATGTTACAGTATAAGAAAAAAAGAAAAATATTAAAGACCAAATTATCATATCAATATGAGATCCACATCTCACCACATTATTAGTAGTATGTGTAATAATGTTAAATTAGTGATATAAAATATTTTTGATATAATATATTGGAGCAAATGGCTCGTCTCTTGGGTTCACGTTCACCGCATTCCCTATGTTCGGCGTGGTTTGGTATTTTTTTTCTTTCTTTTTTTTTTTTTTTAATTGGAGCCAAATTTTTAAATTTTTTTTAACTTGTTCAATGTAGGAAATTTTTTTAAAGTCATGTATTTTAAATTTTTGAAAAATTTATCCACAAGTCCTAATTTTTGAAACGTTGAACCATTTAGTCCTAAAAGTTTTCTTATGCTCCATTTAGTCCCATTTTTACATCAACATGATGTGAATGATGTAAATGATCTGATGTTTCATTTTATAATTTCAAAATTTATTGAAATCTGATGAACATTTGATGTTTTTCATCCTATATTTTCAAACATTATTGAAATTTGATGAACATTAGATGTTTGAAATTCAATGTTTGTAACATGACTCTGATGTTATTAACATTGTATCTGATGTTATTAACATTGTAATGGGACCTTTCAGTCTATAAGAAAACTTTTAGGACTAAACAGTACATAAGTTATTAATTTGGGATTTATTAGTGCATCCCCCTAAATTTTTTTAGTAGACTATTTATCAAATAATTTTCGTTCTACGTTTTTTATTAGTCTAATTAAGTAAAATTTAAAAGTATGAAACATTTTTAAAAACTCAAAAAATTTTACTTAAAAAAATTAATAAAAAAATCACTAAAAAATCAATCTCAAACTAGCTAAATTATTAACAATGATTCAATGAAGTAAAATTAGAAGGGAGCTAAAGATGAGAGAAATGAGTATGAGAACATTTTACATGGATCTTAATCATGTCATTGAGATTGAAATAGGAGGGGCAAAATTAGGAGCTGTGTTATGACTATTAATTTATGTATAAAAAAATAAAAAATAAATATAATTTAAAAAATAAATCATTAATAAAATGCCTATTTAGGTCTCGTTTGACAATTACACATTGCCTTGTTTGGGAAGCTAAAAATAGACTTTTTTTTAGATTGAAATTTACAAAAAGACAAAATAAGATAAAATAGTCAATAAGACAAAATGTCACATCAAATTCATAATTATTTCACTTTTTTTTTTCTCATAAATATCGCATTCAACTTAAAAAAATCCAACATTCTTTCAAAATACAAATATTTTAACCTATTAAAATATCTAAAAACTAAAATAGTCAACTTCTTAAACAAGGCCATTGTAGTCTAAAAGTAAAAAAAAAATCACTAAAGCCAACAAATATAAAAAAAATCAAAAATTATTTCCATTTATCCTACTTTTTGTACATATTTTTGTAAAAAAATAAAAATTCATTCTAAGGCCAAGTTTGGCTAAACTAAAAAAGTACACTTATTTCATTTTTTTATCTTTTTTAGGTCACATCAATCAACATCTCCTCTCTACTTTTTCTACACATAATACAAGAAAAGTCAAAAAGTACACTTATTTAGTTTTCCCAAACTTTTAACTAAAAACCTCAAAAACTAAAAAATCACTTAAAAAAAAAAAAAATCTAGTCCCAAACGAATATCCACCGAAGCAAAACGTTGGGGTTAGTCTTTTCAGCCAATTGAAGCCAAGTTGGACCCAACCCTCCCAATTTACTTATGTTGCATTGATTTGTAGTTCTAAATTTGAAACACTAAATCAATTTTAATGTGTTGAGAAATCACAAAAAAAGAAAAAAACAAACACAAGATCAAAATATTTTATCATGTAGGACTCATATCTAAATTAGAGTTATTAAAGCTCTTGAATTAGAGGCTTAAAATATTTCTGTTTACATATATCTCACACATGAATTTTAAGAAATAGATTTTGAAATAAAATTATGAGCTATTAGAGCTCTTGAATTTGCGGCCTAAAACATTTCTGTTTACATATATCTCACACATGAATTTTAAGGAATAGATTTTGAAATAAAATTGTGACTGTGCAAACCTTTCCGGAACTTTCATTAATTATTTTTCTGTTATGTGAATATAATTTTTTTTTCTCTTTTTTTAATAAAGAGGAAAGAATAACTTGTTTCAAAAGATAAGCACAACAATTTTCCGGAAGTACAGGCCAGGGAAAAAAAAAAAAAAAAGAAAGGTTTTTCTTCATTTCAGTTTGTATGACACGATTAACCATGCTCACAGTTTTAAGTAAAGTGTGTTTAAATAAGTAATATTTGATAAGTTTCAATTGATTTTTTGAATTCGTGGTTCAGTTCTGGATTGAAGAATTAAAAATTCGTAATCCATGAATTAGTTCTGAATTGAACCTTACGGTTCCGGATTGGAACCGATCCGGACCGTATACAAATAGTCTATATTTTTATTATACATCCTCCCCCATAGTATCTTCTCTTATTCCATATAAAACTAAACTCAAACCTAAACCCGCATCATATCTTCTTTTATTACTTTTGTTTGTTAGTTATTAATTTTAATTTGTAATGGTCTAAATATTTATAGTGAAACCAATTTTCTTATGATTGTTTAAATTCTAGAATAGTATGTCGCAATTATAGAAAGACATGTTGCTATTGTGGAACTAATATAGCGCTATGTTTATGTTTTTATAAAATTAAAGTGTTATATATATTTTTTTGTTATTTAATTATGTGAATCTGTGATCCTAAACCGATCTAATCAGTATTTAAATGGATTGGTTCGGATTGATTCCATGATTTAAACGGATTGAATTGGTTCCAATTTTTCAAGAATCGTAAATAACGAATTGATTCTGATTTTACTCCAATCCGATCCAATCCAGACCATACTTATCCAAAAACTATTATATATGGATGATCAGCACTCCACTACGTTAATGCTGCTACTCTTCACGTTTAAGTTTCTCAATTTTTATTTTTTATTTTTAAACTTTTAGTTTTTTGAGATTTTTAAAATTTTAAATTTGTGAAGAGCCAAAAAAAAAAATAAAAAAAATACGCATAAAATATTTATCTTTTATTTCATTCACGATATCTTTCTTAAACATCTTTTATTTCATTCACGATATCTTTCTTAGGCTTGGTTTGGGAAGTGGGTTGACTTTTTGGCTTTTTGGCTTTTTTGGCTATTTTAGCCTGGGCTAAAAAGCTTGGTTTGGGAAAGACTTTTTGGCTTTTTGGCTTTTTTGACTTTTTTTGTGAGAGAAGAATGTAATGATTATGGGTTGAATGTGATGTTTTGTTTGTTATGGCTAAAATAGCCTATTTTGTTTTTTGTGGCTAAAATAGCCAAAAAAGCCTGAAAACTAACTTGCCAAACAGAGGCTTATTTTCTTTCTCTTTATAAATCTCTATACAAATTTAAAATTCAAACATATTACAGCAACATTTGGTTCATTTTTTAAATCATGATTTTGTTTTTAAATCATGATTTGAATTAAACATGTTAATTAAATATATTTTTAAAGTATAATTCAATTTTTTTTCAAAACTCCTACCTTTTTTTTATAATAATTATTAATCAATCAATTAATTATTTTTTTTTCTCCTCTCTCCTCTCTCCTCTTACGTTCTCTCACATTCTATACATCAATCAATTAAAAAAAAACTACAAATCATCTTAAAACTTTTTTCAAAACTCATAACAAAATAAATTTTCTCATTTCAAATTATGTTTCAAAAATTCAAAATTCAAAATATAATTTCACACTCAAATCCTTATTTTTAAATTAAACCAAACAGACCTTATAAGTTTCAGATAAGAGTATTTCAAAGGTGATGGCTATCTCTAGTTGATTCCCACTGGGGATGTGCGGATGAACTCATTGAGCGTCTTTGTCTGGAAATAATTTTTTTAGCTTAATTTTTTAGCTAATTTAACATGGCTAAATTAATTCCATTTGAAAGGAATTTTTTGACCTTTTTTTTTTTTATTTTTTTGTGAGAGAAAAAGTAAAATGATTATGATTATGATTATGATTATGATTTGGATATGATATTTTATCTTATTAACTTATTTAATCTATTTTATCTTTTTATACTTTTTTAGCCCCAACCAATTTCCCAAATGGGGACTAAATCGTTTCGAAAATATAATTTATATAAAAAAAAGATTAATCACATATTAATAATTACATAATTGAATTATATTTATCTTATAAAATTAGATTGTAAATATAATTTTGAGATAAATAGTCTATTTTTTTAAACACAAATGTAATCCAATCATTTGATTTTCCATGTTCGATCAATCTAATTTTATATATAAATATTTTGTCAATAAATTATATGAAATAAACGGTTCAAATCAATAAATTAAACCCTTATTATTATATTTTTTTGAAACGAAAATTAGACCTTTATATGAAACCATCTTTAGTTTTAATGTTGTCAAAGCTAGTTAACAGTATTAAAATGGTGTTGTTGTTCATACTTTCACATCTATCTAAAACATTCCTTGGATCTAAGGCGTCAAGCTGGTAATTTCCAACACCCTTACGCCTTTGTTATTGTTGCATTTAACTTTCTATTACCTTCCTACCTTCTAATGACAAAGATACAGTAACTAGCTTTTATTTTATTTTTTTAAATGAGATGTCAGGTGAATTTCACCTGAAAGTTTTTCCCCCTTTTTCATGTCAATCTACATAACAAATAATGTAACAGGAATTCTCAGCTATGATTTTGCGATAATGATAACAATCTCTTAATAAGTCAAAAAATATATATCAATGGATCAAATTTAACGTAAAGTAAAAGTGACAATAAAATCACATACCTTCGTTTACATGACTTAATTTTACTTCAACTTTAAACAGACTATTAAATCACCATAATACGATCATTATAAAGAGATGATGTTCCGTAAAATTTACCAACATATACACATAAATAGGAAATGAAAAAAAAAAAAAAAATTATAAAACTCATCTGATAATATATGTATATATAATTAAAATTTGCCTCAGGCCATAATCAATAGATTAATAATTATGTACAAGCCATGTGGGTGTTGACCTAACAACTTACTATCATTTAAGTCTGACTGAAAAAAAAATAGTCAATTAATGCCTAGGTACACATTTCCTTACCACTTTCTCGTATTAAGGATCTGGTCCAAGTGATGAATCAAGATTTGTCTAAAAAAATAAAGAAAAAATTGATGTATCAAAATATAATATATTTTCTTCAATCATGTGCTACACGACCTAGCATTAAAGAGAAGGCGACAATAGGGTGTATTATTTAATATTTGATCTCATTTACACTGCTTTTTTCGATCAAAAATATTTTATGCATTCACGACAGAAAATATTTTTTTGCAATCAATAAAAAATGAACTAATTTGCTTTTCAAATGTGTAAAGAGACAATGGAGTCAATTAGATTGCTTTTCAAATGTGTAAAGAGACAATGGAGTCTTACCAAAAGCTGCCATCACCCTACAACCACCACCTTGTCCCTACCACCCTTACAACTGCTAACACCATCATTTTTTAGAGCCGCTACTGAACAAAAGATTTCTTCTAAAGAATGTTTTCAATGGAAAGTGTTTTCCCAAGAAAATGTTTTCCGCATAAATAAACAGACAGTTAACCTGAATTTGTATATTTGGCTGGAGGGTACTATGGATTCAACTTCATTGTTAGTGTCACACATTTGACACGGTACAAGCAATTATCCAGCTCGCCATAGCTGGAGTCAATTGTCAGTGTGAATTCAGCTCTCCATAGATGGAATCAACAAAATTGAAAAGCAATGGCAGCTTATTGTCTAGAACAACACAGGTGACCATTGCCCATGAACTTTCCAAAATTATAAAAATCATGTAAATGGGTACCTCGTTCAAGATTCTACAGCTTCCAGAGCTTCGCCGAGAATTAAATACCTACACACGCAAACGCACATGCTTACAAAGTTTTATACAGTGTATACTCCATGATGTTTGCCCCATGTTTTTCATTTTGTATCTTGATTGTCTTATCACATGGTGGATGCGAATTGTACTCGTTTCAGTTCCAGACAAATAAAGCATTGAAGCAGACGCACCTAAAAAAACTGCACAACTTCAGATATAGTCTAAAATTCAACATAGACACTGTCTAAGGTCTTGAGCTGCTCTATCTCCACGCCGTAGGCAATTCCAAGATCAATATAACACAACTGAAACAAATACAAAGCATCAACCAAACCAACTTATCAAATAACAAAATGCAAAAAAGTAAAAGTTTTTCAACTGCAGTATAACCTGGTACTGTGGTTTCTTCAATGTGTGTACACCTATTTTTATTAGCTTTTGCCATCCGACATTTTCTTTGAGTGATTTTTCCAGAGCTGCAGTTTTCTGTAGGCATGGGCCAAGAGAAAGCAAAAAAAAATGTGATTTTGTAGACAGTAAAACTTCTAGAATACTTCTGGCAATTTGTTTAGAGACATGTATTAACATATTATTTATCCATGGAGAAAATAGATGAGCCACAGCTATAGAAATTAAAACAATGAATTATATGGCAACAAACAAAAACGACCAAATGCATTAAAAATTTCAAATCTACAACCAATTCTGACTAGGCAATGTATAAAATTTCTAGTATACTTCCACAAGAAGCTTTATTTGGTCACAAGAAGAAAAGAAGTACTATGATTCTTATATGAATCAATCAATGCTTAGACAACAAATTTGTATCCCTATAGTCTTGAGTTTTTCCAAATCCCATAGGAGTCCACTAGTAAGTCCTTAAAACTTCAAATGACTAAAAGGAAAATACATCAAGAAATCATCTCGGAAGAGAACGCCTCCCCTCCCCTGGCATGGTCGCAAATTCGTATACAGCAATTATTTCATACGCAGCATTATATTATAAAGAATGTGCTGCTTCTATGCAACGACTTGATTGAGACATTTATTGAACAAGGCCGATCTCTATAAACAATTGAGAACGGGGCAGACCCCGAATAAGAGATATAAAGTGGATCACCACCTGGTGTGGCATTAAGACTTCGTTACAGACATATCATCTGAGCAAAAAAAACCTAGTTTTTCAAGGCCGGGCGTAATCCAACTAAGTTAATACTACCCCAGCATAGGGTATCTGGTTCGTTCCTAGTGCTAGATAAAGAAATGTCCCATAAATTGTGAATACAGGAATACATGAAATTTTTATGTGAAATTTCAAACCTATTCCTTTACCAATATAGCAATGATTGAATAAATGATAGAACATGAAAGCAATGAGGCAGATAATATGCATTATGCAGAACCTGTACGTAGGCACACAAAAAATGGTAAGATGAAGGGAATTCATGAGACAGTAGATACTAGACAAATAGAAAAGTTTCACATCTCAATGTCTTTTTGTAAAGCCAAAATGTGCAGAACAAAATTATACAATAGACCTAGCCATCTATATAGCAGTTTGTGAAGCACACCCAACTTTGTTACTCAGTTTCATGATCTTTGGATTGCAATGTTAATTCCAGCTAGCAAGTTAGGATGTAACTAAACATTGTAAAACATCCAAGATTAACCTGTTGTTAGGGTAACAGAAGTTTCTATATACATAACATCAATTTCAAAAACATATACACCACTAGCCTTAAAGGCAGCATAACTTTCATATAAGAAGCCAAGTAACTTGCAGATATAAATGAATATGGATACACTTACATGACCAGGATCTAAGATTAATAGGTTGTATTGTTGTGTCCCCTTGTGCTGATGTTTGACTTGAATCCCAACAATGGTTCGTGAATGGCCATCATGCTGGAAGTACAAGGGCCTGCTCATTGTAGCTCTCAACAGATCAGAACACAGTGAAGGATGTATTTGTTCTGGTGTTATAAGAGCATCTCCAATCGTTCATCAGATATTTTATCAAATTTGAGTAAAATTTTGATCTGATACGATGCACTTCGACTCTTTCATCAAATCTGGCTGGGGCCGGTTGTCTATCTAGAGTAAATTTTCATCAAATTCATCCCAAAACTGGTTGTCCGGGAGGATGTTTGGGCAAACGTCCGGCCCAACAATCATCTAAAAATTTGATGAAAAAAGTACTGCTTCTTTCGTTTGATACCAAATTGATGAAATGGTTGGAGCACCGTTTTCATCAGTTTTTCATCAAATTTGATGAAAAGTCTGATGAAGGATTGGAGATGGTCTAACATTTCCAAAAAAGGAAATCTCAAATTTATATAATCCAATAAAAAAAGGGAATCATTCAGAAAATGAAGTAGCCAAGAAGGCTATAGCCAGTAACTAAATGTCACATACGCTTTCTCGCTGACAATAACGCGAGCATTGCCCAATGTAGTGAGCTTATTGTCAGAGAAGTAATTCCAAACCCAATCAATGAGAACTTGATGACCCATGAGTGACCTTTTAACTGCATCGCTACAGATAGAAGTACCCATATCATTTGCCACACAGATACTAGAATAACTAGATTTATCTTTGCAACTAGAACCTGATTGGGGGATATTAGGATCCCCTCTAGACAGATATCTGTCCATTGGCCCGCATATTTTTATTCCTGATGCCCCATCTCGCAAACCAGAAGCAGAAGATATTGTTTTAATGTTCTTGCTGTCAAAATCCACTATCCTGGCACGAAGCCCAAAAGAACGAAAAAGTGCAGCACACTCGGTAGTTCCAATCCAATTTTTTTTGCCATAAATTTTGTGATCGAAATGACTCGACCCAAGCATGTCAAAACCCCTTTCCCAAGAGATTTCAAGCCATCTTTGGAGTGATGCAATATCGGGAACATATCCAGAACCACCAAACAAAACCTCCCTCACATCCTGTCTTTGCATAAGCAAGTGCGAGCTGAGCATCTGGATGTTACGCCAACCACAGCCCCAGCCTATGTCCTCTGATTCAATGCTCTGAAAATGATCAACATAACCTGACAATATACTAGTCGAATTTGCAGAATCTAATTCCAAACATTTTCTCAACAAGGCCATCAAACCAGCTTCAACTTTGTAGAAGGACGCTCTAATCTGTAAATTGATTAAATAATAGATCTTTTCATCAATGCTACTTTCTCCATCATCACTTTCCCTCCCATCACACCTCGAGGTACTACTTCCATGGCTTTGTTGAGCACTAGTTTCACATGGCATGTCATTCTTCACTGGATTATTCTGCTAATTTGTCATTAACTAATGTGAGTATATTGAGCTGCAGATTCTGATAAAAAGAGCCAAACAAACAATTGACAAGTATGAAGAGACAACCATATGATGTGGCACTTATTTAGTAATATGCATAAACTTGAGCTAATACATGTTCCAAGTATGCTCCGTTGTCCATTCTTATTCTGTCAGGAGATTCAAATCTGGGTTAATGTTTTAGAATATCTTTATACATCACTGGGGATCTAGTTGTCAATTACAAAATCTATTTAAATCTCAAATTCTGGTTTCCTAGTGTGTGTCAGGATTAGCAATAACAAGTATATATGAACCATCAATAGACTAAGAAGAACATATGACAGTGTCACAGCTCCACAAAGCTCTCTATCTCTCAAAGTGGCATTTTATGAAGGTCCTTTGTAATGGATTAGGATCCTCTGCCTTTTTTTTTTTTCCTCCAACGATCTTGCTATGATCAGGCACCCAACAAATTACAAAATCCAACAGTCAAACTTCAAAGAAAAATTAAAATCTAGTCTTTTTATTTTAAACTACATACGCGTTGAATTACCTTAGTAAAATCATAATAGCAGAACCAGTGTCAAATTTAGACCATTGGAGATATCCCGTCACCCATTCATTCTACCTAGTGTCATGTACCGACTCATTGGGGGTGCGAGTTCTACACCAAGCACCTTGCAAGCGCATTAGTTTGTTAGCGGTAAGGCAGGCAGGGTAGATCCCTATCGCATCTCCTGGATTGGTCTTTGGCTATAATATACGGGGATATGCAGTACCACTCGTAGAGCCGGCTTCTTGGGAGGATGACAAGCGCCCAATGCGTGACAAGTGGTATCAGAGCGAGCCTAGGGCCACTGTGATGGGGACGGTACGTGGGACTTACACCAAGCACCTTCATTGTGGGGTCCGCACCAAGGGTGGTGCCCGCGCGGGGCGGGTTTCCCGTGAGTAAGGGAACGGACAAGCATGGAGGCAGGCAGGGTAATGTCCCCCTGAAGAGGGCGTCAAGGACTGGTGGTGGTAGCATGTCACGTACCGACTTATTTGGGAGTGCGAGTACTATACCAAGCACCTTGCAAGCGCATTAGTTTGTAAGCGGCAAGGCAGGCAGGGTAGATCTTCATCGCATCTCCTGGGTTGGTCCTTGGGTATAATACACGGGGTATGCAGTACCACTCGTGGAGCTATCTTCTCGGGAGGATGACAAGCGCCCAGTCCGTGACACTAGGCTCTCGCATCAAATTTACATCTTCCTATAATAAAGTTACAATTGTAGAGCATCTCCAACAGGCTCTTTAAAACAGGCACATTGGTTATTATAGCAATCCTAAACCCATTAGCCATTACAATAGCTATTTTAACGTTTCTCTTCCAAGCTAGCTACATTCGAAGAGCCTTGGGAGGTTGTTTAAACAGTTTGTATGAATGTCTAGGTAAAATAAAGAGCAATAAAGAGCATACCTTTTTGTACTTTAGCTGGTGAAAAATGAAGTAACAATTTTCAATTTTATCTTTTGATTATCTACAAAAAGAAGACTTTGATTGTCTAGCATTATACAATTACAGTCACAGGCTCAACACATAAGCATATACACAGAAATACATAAAGCAACACAGAGAGAGAGAGAGAGAGAGAGAGAGAATTACAATAAAGGGGGGACTCGGGGGAGCAAGAGCGATTTGTTGGGCCAATTCCATGTCCCTTGCGAGTTCCTCATCCTCGAAGTGGCTGTTGGCATGCCTGCAATCATCGATTCACAGTTTTCTCTCAAAATACAAAGTTCAAACAGTGGATATACGCATTGCAGAACTCGATATCAAACGTCACACACACACACACATATATCTTTTATATATAGAGAGAGATATGAACAGATTGATATATAAACAAAGATATACCTTTGAAGTTGGAAGGACGGAACAGATTGATGACAAATTGGGCAAATCGACTGGTCCATACACCAAACGCCTTCTCTGTCTCTCTGTCTCTGTGGGGATGGTTTAGCAATGGAGCGGTCAGTTCGGAAAAACATCCACAGACACATGTCCGG